GGCATCTCATCAGCGGCGCACTGCTGCAGCCAGATTCCTGCTAAAGTGCCTTGATTGCATAATGTCTATTTGCATAATGTAAATTGCAATCTCCTAGCTCGGGAGGCAGGAATCACAGAACAGCCATTATTTTTTACCACTCCACAAAAATTCTACATTTAGAAAGCAGATTTGCAGCTCAGAAAGCCGTATAAATCTGAATCCGCCAGAAACGCCATTAAATCACACCAATTAAGCCGGACCAACGAAGAGCCCCTGTCACTGTTCTCTGCACACTCAAGGACTCCCCGCCCAGATGGAGGCCATGAGAAACTGGAGGCTATGGTAGTGGGCCTGGGAGCAGGACCTGCAAGAGGCAGGAAATTCTGTCTTATAAACCCTAACACACACACACACACACACACACACACACACACACACACACACACCCCGCCCCATCCACCCCAACCGTAGGTCCCATCAAGACCTGGAGCAGAAAGAATGAGAGGCGGGTGGAATGAGTCTGAGTTCTTTCTGAAAGAGAACTACCTCCATGTCAACCTCAGCCCATACTTTCTAATTGATTAAGTTCTTCTTTCCAGCTTATCTCTTTAACTCAGACAAACGACCCTGCGGGCAAAGCATCCCATCACGGGTGGTGGGAACAGAGACTACCCCCTCAAGCAGTAATAACTGTCCTGACACCAGCAAGTGATTGCCCCCAAGACAATGATCGACCTGACCTTCACTGCCCACCTGCACGTACCCACCGACCTTTGTCCCACATTTTCCTGATATAAACCTGGATGTATTTTCAGCACTTTGGAGACAGTCTTTGTGACGTGAGCCCGTTGTCTTCCCGGGGCTGGCCTCACTGAAATAAATCCCTTTCTTGTTTCCCCATTGCTCCTCTCTCTGCCTGTGGATTTTGTCAGTGGCGAGTGGCCGAACCGGGTCTGTTTGGGACCCCCCCGGAGCCAGCGGCTCTTCACCCCTGCACCCTGGCTACACATCTTAAGCTCATTGCCTGATTTCTGCTGGGCACACTGTCTACAGACTTGTAATTTACGCAGCAGGAGAGCGTGTATCAGGAAGAAGTCTGCACCCTTGGCAGAGGGAGTGGGGAGATCTAAGGTGTTTTGCATGGGGGGGCAAAACATCCATGCCTTTCACAGCTCTTCTGTGACTTTTCCTCTCTTCTCTTCTCCCAAGTCCCTTCCGGCCAAGTGTAAGAAACCATAGGAGAAATCCTGCTCAGACTGGGCTGGGCTGGAGTCTGAGCGCTTTTTAAAAGCTGTTTCCTAGGGGTCACTGGGGAGAGAGGTGAGTCCCAAGGTGCCTGGTAAAGGGGCATTCCCTCTGACAATGACGCAAGATCCCAGTTTCCCCTCAGCCAGCCGTGCACCTGGTTACTCTTTTGCCTCTTTATTGCTCATTCAATATTCATTTGTCAAAGGGCAAGATGCTAATGTGTATTATTAAAATATCAATAGTTTATGAGTGAACTTTTATGGAGGGTACAGTTAAAGGAAATATTCTTGACCATCCCTCTCAGGAACAATGGAGAAAAACAATCTTTTCCAACTCCACTTTTTATTTATTTCCTGGGTGGAGGAATGCCTGACCGTTTTGAGTAGCTATTGTGTGTCAAGAATGGGCTATAATGCTCTCACATGCTGGCTTCCCTTCGGTCCCCACAGCAGTCCTGGGAAGGGTATACAATCCCATCTGCATTCTGGAGATGAGCAATCTGAAGACCGAGCAGAAGCGCCTGGATCGCGAAGGTGCTAAGTCGGAATCCAAACTCTTGCTTTTGGACTTCAAACCCCAACTTTTTTTTCCCCCAAGTTGGAGCCTTGAAAATACAAATGAGCTTTACATTTTTATCTGTTCTTTCATTTGTCCAAATTAAACATTCATTTCCTGACCTAAATTTCCAAACCCCGGCACTTTTTTATCAAAACCAAGCCCACTTACCCTTCTCCTCCCTGCCCCCTCCCTTTCTGGCATTAGCCATTCTCAGATCTCAGCCCCTTGGGAACATGAATTGGCTCTGTCTCCACTCTTTTGTTGCTTGAGCTTTGTTTCTATCCTCTTAAGTCACAATAAGGCATTCAGGCACTCAGATTCTCTTCCAAAATTTAGCCACATCCGGGTCAGGAAAATGACAAAGGAAAGGGGGTCTGGTCCCTTAATGGCACAGGTTCTAGTTTGTGGCAGAAGGGCAGGAAGGAGAGGAGAGGATGTGGGGTCAGATAGGAAGGGCTACCCAGACTTCCCCAGTCCCCAACACAGCCCCAGTAGCCTCTTAAGCCTGGATCTCTGGCCAAAACCTCCCCCAGCTTGGAAGGTCATTGAGTTGGGGGTGTGGGGATCTCTAGATGGGAATGAGGGCCTTAGGCTTGAGGAATCTCTGGCCACAGGTCTAAGTGCCCCTCCAGACTTGGCACTTCAAGCTGTGAGTTGCAAAATGGACCAACTTTTGTTGAAATGGACTATCAGGTGGAAGCCTCCACCAATGGCAGGACCTCTGAACACCAGCATGTCCTTGGGGAGTCCGGCTTTGGGAGGAAGCCTAGCCCAGTCTCTGGGGGGCGTTGGGGAGGGCTTTAAACCCAGACATTCTGTGAGATAGGGGCAGTTTGATTTTCAAAGATAGGGGTTTCTTTAGCCAGTCTTTGGAAATAGATGAGGCTGTACTATGTCAGACTTGCCAAATACGAGTCGTGTAGATTGTACTCTCCAAAGATGGTTGCAACAACATGTATCCCATCCCTATGCTCCTCTTTTAATGTGCTGTTGATACTCCTCCTTTGAGTCATGGTGGGAGGGATGTCTATGTTCCCTTCCTGAAAGTGAGGTAGGCCTTTGTAACTGCCCCAATCAAGAGAATGTGGTGGAAGAGACGCTGCTTGACTTGGGCAATACCGCTTCCACCTGGCTCTTGTTCTCTTTCAGGGTGCTCCCCCTTGGTGTCCAGCCACCATGCTTTGAAGAAGCCCAAGCCACATGGGAGTGGTCACACGGGCCTGCCTGGCAGCCCCAGCTAACATCTCAGCCAACAGCTCATATCAGCCCCCTGAATTATAAGTGAATGAGCCTTCAGATGATTCCAGCACCCAGCTTTTCACTTGCCTCAGCTGAGGTCCCGGACCCAGTGGAACAGAGACAAGGCGTCCCTATGGTGCCCTGTTTGAATTCCTGACTCACAGAATATGCACATTATAAACATTGTGAAGACACTAAGTTTTGGGGTGGCTTGTTACACAGCCGTAGTAACTGGAACACCACTGGGATTAAATGGAATGTTTGTGGTTTCCTTCTCAAATTCAGCCTTTCCTGGTCTTCATGCTGAGACTTCAGACTATGCCCTCCTCAACTGGTCCCAGCCCCCCAGAGCCTGCCCCCTCTCCTCTTCCTCCCTCTCCAAAAGGCAGGAGGATGCTCATGCCTGAGGCAGCCTTGGCAAACACTCCCTGAAAGATCATTTGAATCTCCCCATCTCAGAATCCCGGGACCCAGAGAAACCTGCTCTTCCTTGTCCCTCAGCGCAGGTCCAAGAGCGTGTCCCCATGAGGGAGCTTTCCCTGGGTGTGTGTGGCCCAGCGCAAGGCACCGGGTGCCCTCGGAGGCAGGGAGGGAATGTGCAGACCTATTTCCCCACACTCTCCACTCTCATTAAGGTTCACGCTCAGCTTGCTTCTCTCCTACTTGACTTGACTTATGAGGTCCCTTTAACCTCCGGTGCGAGGAGACATGATTCTCACAAAGGTCTTTCCACTGTGGCTCCCCCAGCCCCCCAGCCGCATCTCCTAGGTAGGCTTTCCCGGAACAGGATGGAGGGAGGCACCCTTCCCCGCTCCCCCCTCCCGGGGCCTCTCCCCTTAGGCTTCGACCACTCCAGAGCCTGGGCTGCAGAGTAGGTGCCCTGGGAGTGGCAGCCTGTCAATCACAGAGGCGACCAGCACTGACTCTCAGGCCATTAGGCGGGAGGGCCGGCGCCCTGCTCACTCACCGGGCAGCCATCGGCAGGATGTTAGACGATCGCATGGCAGCCATTCTTATGATTTATTCAAATACTCATTACAGTCAATCTATTTTTACACAGAGGTGAAGATGTGCGCTGATAACGGTTAATCATTTATAATTCCATGGACTGGTTGGAAGCCAATGTACTCTCAGGGGCGCGGCAGCAGCCCAGCCTCCGGTAGCCCCAGAAGCAGGGTGGGAAGCTAAGTAGCCCAGGGCAACCCGATCTCCCGGCTGACATCTGCTGAGCAGAGACCAGGTGGAGGGTGCCGTGGGGACAGGAAGACACGGGAATCCCAGACTGTCCTCCAGGAGCTCACAGCCTCACTGGGGGGCGCGCAGGAAGGTGCAGGCCAGAGGCACGCTTAGCGTGTGGATGCAGTAGAACTTCGGGAGAGGGAGAGAGCACTTCTAGCTGGAGTTACCAAAGAAGGGTTCATTGAGGAGACCGGACTTGGGCTGCGTTCCTCCAGGTGGGTAGGCTTTCACCAAGTGGGAGAGCCAAAATGACACATAAAGCGTACAGTGGGGCTCTCACTGTGCCGATAGAACGGAAGCCACCAGCTTGTCTTCTTTCCCCTCCCTCACGCCTCCCGAGAAATAAGCCAAGGTCTAAAAGCAAGTGTGGGCTATGAATTGGTCCACTTCCTCCTCTCACAGTCTCCCCAGCTTAGCCCACAGATGACAGTGGCTCGGGTGGCCTCGCAAACTCAAGGGCTTCCCTCTCCAACACTCATGACACACATAACACATCAAGTCCACCTTAATGCACAATCAATAAAGTCTAATTAAGTAGGATGTCATATTACAGGGCTTCTTTGTCACATTCAGACCTAATCTAATTAGAAGTCCACTGTATTTTACATTCTGACTGGCTCATTGTTGAGTATTTCTCTTGCACAATGCATGGCTGTTAAAGATTAGGTTCAAGTCTGGTCCTTAACCCATAACCTTATTGAATCAGCATGGAAACACCAAGCACAGTTACTTACAGTTCACAGTCCCTTTTCTGGTGAGCAGCATGGAGGACAGAAAGCCTCAGAATCCTGCTCCGGACTTCACCTGTCAATAAAAGAAAATGTTTTTAGAGATGTGTATGATTCCACTGGGAGTGAGAGCCGAGGTGGGGCTGAGGGAAACCTCAGAGTGGGTCTGGTGTGGGAGCAAAGCCAGGACTCTATTCCCACAGTGCTGAGTGGGAACATTTCCTGATCAAGGGACTCTGGGTACAAGACGATTATTGGTTAGGACAACTAACCAGGACAGAGAGAGGATCACTCCCTCCTTACCTGCTTGGTGCCTCAATTTCCTGTGAGTTTCATCCCCTTCCCTATTGGAATCCTGGAGAAAAACAGGCTCATGGCTGTGGAGAGCCCTGAACTGACCAAAGCAATAATCATTTACTGATGCCTCCCGTCTGATAGAGGACCCCATGCCGGGGGCAGAGTTGCGCAGCCCCAGTGAAAGCTTGCAACCTATATGGGGAAGGCTGCAAAACACTGGCAAACCACAAAGCTGAGGCTGTTGTTTATGGTAGGTTTATGGAAAGTCCTGATAGAGGAGAGAATTTTCAAGGAAAGGTGAAGAGTCCAATTGGGATGGAAGGAAAAGAAGGTGCATGGAGAAGCATGATGAGGGCAAGACTGGAAAGAAAAAATGTGACTGCTTTTAATTCTTTCTGGAAGAAAGCAATAACAACAAGAAAAACCCAGCACATGCTTATCAGGTGTCTGCTCCATGGTCTACATTGGCTAGGTGCAGCAGGAATAAAATCCATGGGTGGGTCCTGTTATAAAAGTGCTGCCATGACGTCATTGGGGAAATAAGATTACCTACATAGAACATCATCAGATAAGACAAGACTATATGCACAGTAGTGCTGAACTATGTGGTAGGGACTCTAATTCTCTCACCACAGAGAAAGGAAGTTGGCAAGAGCTGAGGCACTCAAGGAAGTAGTCAGGAGAGGGGCGAACTTGAATGGGGCCTTGGAGACCAGACAGGCAAGATTTGGCTGGTAGAAGGGAGCAATCCAAGCAAGGATGAGAGGGGGGCAGCATGGAGTGCCCTGGGCCAATGTAGAAGCTGGTCTGCCTGAGAGAGACCAAGGAGGGACCAACACTGAGTAAGCCAGTTGGGGCCAGAGCATCTAGGGCTCTGAGGGTCAGGCAGAGAGGCCAGGCTTAGGTCAGGAGCTGGTAGAGCCATTTAAAGTTTTTCAACAAGGAAATGACACTAAGAAGAGGAGACCCCTGCCCTGAACCCTTTAAGATCTTCCTTTTAATTAAGACAGAGAGACTTCTTGGAAAAGGTGGAATTTCAGATGGAAAATTCAGGCGTGAGATGTACTGTGATGTGCTCATGGAAACAAAATGTCCCTCTTGTTCATGATGATGTCCACCAGGCTGAGGCACTTCCTCTGGGGCTGTCTACTAACATCTGCATGACCCAGGTGAACGGTTCAAGGAGGTACCTCTGAGGTAAGCACAGACCACTGGACAGCAAGTCCTTGAAGACAGGACCACGCCCCCTGCATCTGTATAGCCCCAGAACCTAGCAGAGTGCCCAGGATGTATTGGTTCTCAGTATATGTCTGTTGAAATGTTCATTGGTAGACCCTCTTCATTCCAAACAGAACCCACAACCAGCAGCTCTGAACCAGTCATGGGTTGGCAATGGTCGGCAATGGGCTCCAACTTAGAGTCTTGTAAACAACAGACATACTGCTACTGAGCATCCATGAACTCACTGTAAGAAGTCTCTAGATTGAATTGCATGCAGTGGTACTTTATCCCTGCCCTCTGGGATTGTCTGTTGAGCCGCCAGCAACTCAGAAGAAGATATGGCAGACTTGCCATTTGCACATGCTGCGAAACTGGGAAGGACAGCCACTCCTGGAGAGATGGATTCAAGAGTGTTATAAAGCTTTTAATAAGCTGCAAGAACAGGCCAAAACGAAAAACTCCTTTTTTTCTTCTACCAGTTTTTGCACAATAAGATCATGACAGCCATAAAAGAAATAATTTTGAAAATAAAGAAATACAGCCCACAATCCCATCACTCTAAACCACCAAATTACTGTATCCCATGTCCACATGCAAATCCATTTTTATTTTTTACACTAGAAAAAGATTTGACGAGAATATATACATTCAAAAAGTCAATTGCAAAAACACCGAATAGGGTAACCTGGCTTAAAAAAAAAAAAGAAAAAGAAAAGATGTAGGTGATTTGAATTTAATACAAGCTCAGGATGAGCCCAGAGTGTGGTGTTGCTGCCAAACACATTAAATGTTATCTTAGGTTGCATTAATACCCACACAATGTCCAACCGAGGGATGAACAGTCCCCTCACTTTGGTCTTATCAATCTATATTAGTTTAGGATGCAGTTCTGGCATTATATCTTAATAACTTTGACAGAGAAGAGGAGAAGTGAGCGAAGATGTCCAGTAACTAAAAGTGCAGGCTCTGGGGGCGCCTGGGTGTCTCAGTCAGTTAAATGTCTGCCTTCGGCTCTGGTCATGATCCTGGAGTCCTGGATCGAGTTCCGAATTCTCTCTCTCAAATAAATAAATTTTTAAAAATCTTTAAAATAAATTAAAAAATGAAAGTGCAAGCTCTCGAATCAGACTGCCCAGTTTTCTGTCCCCACTCCACCACTTACTAGTGGCACGACCATGGGCAAGTTACTTAACTTCTCTGTGCCTCAGTTTTCCATCTGTAAAATCGGGCTAATAAGGGTTCTACCTCTGAGGTTCGAGTGAGGATTGAATGATTTTGTAAACTGCAAAGCGCTTAGAACCACGGCTCACACAAAATCAGCACTCACTGAATGTTAGCTATTTATTGCTATTTTGTTGTTATTTTCATTACTAGGAGGCTGTGCGGTAAAAGATATGAGAGAATAAACCAGACATGTCCCTCTCTAAGACTACCCGTCCTTCTCCCACATGGTGGCCCTCCAAATATTTGAAGAAACTTTATGAAAGAGGGGCTGTGTTACTCTAGATAGTAGGATCAGGACTAATTGCTAGATGTTAGAGGAAGTCAATATAAGAGAGAAGTCTCTAGCAATGAGAACTATCCAAAAACAGTTAGTGAGCTCCCCGACACTGGAGGGAGATTCTGAACTGGGTGAGAGGCTGCTCCACAGCATGGTCTCCCAGACATGGCTTCTCCCATCTTTGAAATGTTAAAAAAATTACGTTGACAAACTTATATATTGAGAAAACCTTAATATTGTCTTCATTCACCATTGTTTCATGAAGTAATTCAACCCCCCAAAAGTAAAGAGAGCAACAAAGACCATTTTTTGAATTGAATAGAGCATAAATAGAGCATCGTGGAGGGGCGCCTGGGTGGCTCAGCCAGTTAAGCGGCTGCCTTCGGCTCAGGTCATGATCCCAGGGTCCCGGGATCGAGTCCCACATCGGGCTCCCGGCTCGGCGGGGAGCCTGCTTCTCCCTCTGCCTGCCACTTCCCCTGCTTGTGCTCTCTCTCTCTCTCTGTCAAATAAATAAGTAAAATATTAAAAAAAAAAAAAAAAAGAGCATCGTGGAAAGCACTCCCTCTCTCCCTCTCTTTCTCTGCTCCCCTCTCTCTCTCTCACACACACACACAAATGCGCGCGCATGCACACACGTGTGTGCACACATATGTGAACATATGTGAACATGCAACCTCTCCATACTGGCCTTATTTTTCACTCGTGACCACGCACCCGTGGAAAAGTCTACGTAACTTGGCGCTGGGGAACCACCTATGGGCCATGTATGTTAGGGCTCCCAAAGCCAGCAGCTGGCGGTCCTGGCAGGAGAGCCTTCACATAAGCAGCCATGCCGTCATGGAACCAGAATTGAAACTCAGGCCTGTCTTATTAACCATGAAAATAAAATGGAACTATAAATGAAATTGACCATTCACGTTTATTAATATGAGGAAATTGGCGAAATGATAAATGAGGGAGGAATTGTTGAATGCTCATGTTTGTCTGGGAACGACGTAGACAGAGGGGCAGAACACGCTCCAGGAGAGCTGAGCAGCACCCAGGGAGCACGCCTCGGTAAGTTGGGAGGGTGGAGAGAGATGAGCTGGGGGCTTAGCGAGGCCATGAGTCTAACAGAGAGAGCACCCCTAACAGACGGGTATCACCCTGGTTAAGAATAAAGATGTGGGAGTCAGAGAGTTCTGGATCCAAACCTGGGTCCAACATTTACCTAACCTTAAGCTCTATGAACCTCAATTTTCTCATCTTTAAAAGGGGGGTAATAGTAGCATCTTTAAATGAGACGATGCATTGAGAGCATTTTGTGCAATGCCTGGAACATATTAATAATAATAATAAATGAGGGCTATTGTTGTTTTTAAGTGTTAAGAGTTAAGGGCTGGCAGCAGCTGAACAGAAAAGGAGAAAGAGACAAAGCAAGAAGGTTGAGGACTTCTGCATTCATCCCACTGCCCATGAAAGCATTTCTGCCCTTGCCCCAGCCAGACCTTTGGGATGAGGACAAATTATGAAAACCCATTCGTGGACACCAAGAGTCTCTCAGGAGCCTTCTTTTCTCTGAAAACCCCTCCATGGGCATATGAGCAAAACTTCCGAGAAAGACAAAACGTGAATAGACCATTCCAGAAGGAAACCCCTGAAGGACCACCCATCCATCCAGACAGCATGTCCTGGGTCTCCCCACCTCATTGCTGAGTCTCCTCTCTGTTCCCCTTGTGCTCCCCTCATCACCTGACAACAGCTTGTGGTTGCTTACATTTGTTGAATGAGGTTGGCAGTTACAGCATGGTAGGCCCTCACCACCAGGCTCTAAATAACACAATAACTAGGTAATTGAATACTGATAAAATTGCCTGGCACTAAATACTTGACTCTGAGATGCATCCCACCCAGCACTGAGGGTAGCACACAGCTGTTCCTGAAGCCTGGTAAGGACTGATGCTCATTCCACACCTGTCTTCAGCCCCCACAGGGCCATAGGCAGTACTGGTCGCCCCGTAACAGAGGAATTGGAAAAGTTCCCTCAGTCACGTTCCGCAGGCCCTGCCCGGGCC